TAGTTGGAGTGTTATGTGTTATCGTTATTAATTGGGTAAGCTTGTTGTTTGTTCGTTCCTTTAGCTTTCGTATATTTTTCACTTGGAACTCTATCTGTGTTTTCCCAGATTCCCCAAGATTGATATTGGTAGGATTATGGTCACTGATATTTTAAGAAAATGTGTTCTGCATATTATCTTCTAGATTTTTCCATTCTTTTAATATCATCACCTAAAACAAAATAATTCCATTTGCAGATTTCTTGCCACTGGTGATACTTTCTACACAATAGACCACAGTTTAAGAGTTCAACTTTCGAGTTTGGCGCTATTTACAAAAATAGAAACAAAGATGGAATTACAATTTTACAATTTACAATTTTAATTGTAAAAACAATCTGAACTTTGCACAATTTTTTGAGAATTAAAAAGGGCGATAATTTGTACTTTCACTTTCTAGAGCCACCGGAGTCTGAATTTTTGAACTGAAATTCTTAACTCCTACTTGAATAGTGTAAAATATGCAGAAACATATGTAATTAATAAACAGTTTCAGTGACACCTACCATTTTCATTCATTCATAAGGGTTTTGTAATCATCATGTTTTAAAACGTACAACATTGGATATTTTTTAAAAATTTCTGTTAAAGCTTCCTTTCGTTTTCGATATTTTCATTTAGTTCTCGACTGCCCCAACATTTCCTCATTAGTATTTTATTTTTTCTCCTTCTTTCTGATATGGCTCATGTTAACCCAAAATATGACAATTAAAAAAATAAGATATAATAGAGATATATTATCAATACACATTGAATATTGTACACACCTTATTTTGCCACTAACTTTTTGTAATAAAATAAAAATATAATAAATAATAATAAAAATAATATAAATAAATAAAAAATAATATAAAATATAAATAAATAAAAGTTTTGTTCTTATATTTACAAGTTTCATCTTACATCCTATGAGAAAATCCTATCCAGACCAGTTTCCACTATTTCGATAAGCATAAAATTCTCCCTATACATAAAAATCCTCGATCGCTTTGGCAGTTCTGTTGTGCCATCTTCCATTTTGTGAATAAATGGCCACTGGTCACGATAGCCGCAACACCATAAATTTAATAATAATTGTTTAAAAATGGGACACAGCGTACATCTAACATTCTTGAAGTTATCTCACCATATGTGAAATAAATGCGGCAATTTATTACTTATTCGCCAGATTCATCATTTTTCTATCCTTTCCATACTTATATTTCTCTCCAGACTTTCCACTTTGTGCTTTGGCTTTTAGAATATTTTTGCCGCTTTAGTAGGGAATTCAGCCATAATGTTTTGAATTGTATTATTTGTAATATATTGCTAATTATACATACATGACATGCAACGAAGTGTATAATAACTAATATAGAAAATTAAATTAAATTAAAAATTAAGAAAACTAAAAAACAATTTATTTCTGGTTCTTTAGTCTAGTCTTGAGTCTAGAAGACTAGAAGAAAAATTGCGATATCTAATAGAAAAAATATTAATGGTAAGACAAATACGCAAATTTTTCTCAAAACTAGAGATAATGAGTCGATTATCAAATACGTTTGTCTGTGGAGAATCGCCTGATTCTGTCCCTTGGTAAACTCTGGTTAACAAATCATAATCTAAGGTAATAAAATGAAATTTTGCAATGACGGGGATTAGGAGTAGACAAATTAAGGTCCATAATAATTCTAAATGAAATTGATCACTAAGTTTCACAGTCATTTAATAATTTATAATTTTCTCACAGTTCTGCAATTTTAGTTAAAAATTGCTTTCCAATTTTACTGCATCTCTACTTTTATCGACCATCATTATAAAACAAAAATAACTACAATCGGATTTTAACATAAAATAAATATTAACTGTTAAAATTTGTCACTAATAAAATGAAAAATTGTTATCCCCTCTTTATTTATTTGTTGTATTTAATTTTTATTTGTTTATTTATGCACTATAATGAAAGAACGTCAGTTAAGACGCCTTGAAAATCGTTTTTCCGACTAGAATCTTATCGCGCCCGGTTTCCAGCATCGAACAGGGGGGCAAGAACGTTTTTGATTAATCGTCCGATTTTCTTGGCAGGCGTATCCGCCCCCCCGCCAAAAAGAAATTCATCAAGGGGATTGGCGCAAAGTAATAACTGAAAACAACGTAATTTATCAAATAAATAGGAGCCATTGTACCGTGAACCTTACTTCGCGTTTTACTGCGAGCTATACACTCAAAATATGGTCTGAAATTTATCATCTTCGTTATTTTGTTTCAGCGTTTTCTCTTAAAACGTTTCGCGCTTTGTTTTTCGCGCCCTTTGACGTTTAGTTTTCCTCCCGGCGAGATACCTACTATGCCCGAGGTTTACTTAATGTTGCGACGAACATATTATATTGAACGTTACGAAGAAATCTGTGTTATACGTCATAAGAGAGGTTAGAGAAGCATTATTATAGACAACATCGATAAGTCGAAGGCATGGATAATTAAATTAATTAATTTAGTTAATTAAAAAAATAATTAATTAATTAAAATTTTTATATATACGGCATATAGTCTTCAAAAGCAAATTATTAGAATAAGTTAAGCACTAAACTGTGCAAACAGATTCAAGCAGATTATAATATAGAATTATTAGTTAAACAAACAAGTCGAATTGTACAACGTCTACGATAATTTATTTATCCACTGTTAACGTTTTTTTTTGTATATTTTAGTTTCTGTTTCTACAAGTCCCAAATGTGAATAAACGTTATTATTGGCATTGGCATAGTAGACTGAAAATAGAAAAAAAAGTAGACTGAAAATCCTAACAGAAGAATTTTCAGAACAAGAACAAATAGTATAACAACTCATATAAAAACACAAATAATACAATAGAGAAACACGTATAAGCTTTATAGACTTTGAGAAAGTTTTTGACAATATAAATAAAATAGGGAATATTATGAAAAAAAGGGGTATCCTCACTAGAGAAATATCAACAAACAAGGGAGTTAGAAAAGGCTGCTTTATTTCGTCCGCATGATTTAACCTTTATAGAGACGCTATTGTGAAAGAGTGGAAAATGAAAGACCAAAACACCACCGTCTATTTTACATGCTGATGACTTAGTAATCTTGACGGAACCAGAACACAATCTACAGAGAAAAATATATAATCTACAAACAATCTGTCAAAAATCCGACGTGAAAATATAAGAAACAAAACGAAGACCATGGCTCTGTCAGGACAAATACTGAAACAATGATATAGAAGAAAAACCTATTAAATTAACAAATATTTGTAGAACTATCGGAAGAAAATTAAAGAATGAGACAAGAAAAGGTACACAAATAAAATGAAAGACGACAGCTATACCAACATACCACAAATAGTAGTGAAGCATGGTCAACAACAAAAAAAAGAAGAAAGCAGAACAATTGAAAATTCTAAAAAGAGTGAAGGATGTACGAAACTAGACAAACTAAGAACTAGAGATATAAAAACGGACTTAAACATCGTTATTACATACAATAAAATAGTCAACTTATATCAATGCTATAGAAGAAGAGATATCGGAACGCCGAGAAAAAGATGGGTATCGCAACATACAAACATGAAGTGAAGAAGAAGATTAGCCTAATTATTTATTATTTGGTGAAAATGATATTAAGAATTGCGGGTAATGTAAGATCTTTAAAGTACATTTGTTATAGAAAAATTAATATTTCATACTTCAACTCCTAATGCAATGAAAAATAAGTGGAAGATTAGTTGGAAGGAGAAGACACTCCAGACCAATCTGTTCAAAATGGCAGTCTCGAAATTACGCATAGCTTCCATCGTTGCTAACCCTTGGAACGAAGACGGCGCCGTCAGAAGAAGAATCTGTAATGAGTGTTAATACAATTGTTGCAAATATTTCAATTAATGTTACAATGTACTCTTGTCACCGCAATAATATAAAAGTTAACTTTTTCTTTAATTTATTAAACACTCGTTTCGATCCTGGCAAATCAAACTCGTGATTAAAGTATAATTTATCAAACATGCTGCATAATATAGTATTCATTTTCACAATAACATTATAAATGTGAAGGAAATTATCTCTTTGCACAGCTGAACAGTTTCCAAAAACATAAATCTCGAACATCAAAAAGATATTATTATTAGATTGTCCGTAATGATAAACAATTCAATTAACCTTAATAATAATTGAAACAAACAAAAGTAAAAATAGATTTTTTGTACTCCAAACATTTTCATTTAAACTGCTTTTCACCGAAAATTGTTTTATTTATTTAATATTTAGGTGACTGTTGCTTTGGAATTGTCTCGACAAATGTGTCGTAGTAATTAATATAATTACCAAAGTTACGGGGGTCATGTTTAAATTTTTCCGTTTATATTTAGCAGTAAACTTGTACAAACTTAACTTTCTAGTCAATTATAAAATACGCAAAATTATACAATTCAGACACATGGCCGCGTTCCTTCGAATTCCGGCCTGAGGCGAGTATAGCAGGCCCTGAATTTCATAAAGTCTTTCAGCGCACAACAAAATAAAACAGACGGCGCGCTCCAGATAGAAGCTGTACTTAGAAATATAGCGTCATTAATAACTTTGTATTAAATGTTGCACTATTTGTTTTCATTTATTCCCCTTTAGTTGCGAAATTTAAAATATTGAGCTCTCCATCTTTTGTGTCGGATTTCGCGGTTCGCCCGGCCGCTGTTTTTCCCAAAATCGCTGAGGATATTTTCATTGTTCAAGACGAAATGAAACTTTGCACGAAATTACAATGAATTGTAATGAAGTATGTAGCGGCAAAGTTCAAAATTAATTGCCGAATATCCAAAAAAATGACAGATATGGGATTTATAAAAGGTTTATTTTAGCAGTCTAATTTGCAATAAAAATGTACTAAAAATACTGCATAAACAAATAATTGAGCAGCTTAAACTTAGCTGAAGACAAACTAACTCATCCATACGTAAATCTGTACCCGATTACTGGTGGCAAGTGTGGGGTTCTTTCTGGGAACCTGCAACGAACATAAATTGAATGATTTTTATATAATAAAAAGGATTCAAAATAAATTTCTCAAGTTAATTTTCCTTTTTAAATGTTTTATTTCCTTCAACATGTTGGGCATGTAATGAGTGTACCAGATTTCACCTAATTACTTTGAAAAATGGACACACTGTATCTCGGTAGCATCCATCTTTCTACGAACTTTCTTTCTTATATCAAGCTGGGAACCATGCTCCCAAGTTGGGGCCTTGTATTAATGAATCACTTTACATCACTATTATTCAAACTTGCCACATCGCTATTACATTACGAGCTCAAACTTATGGAACTTATATGGGTGCGATTAAAGGGATCCTTTGATAAAGCCATAGAGGCAATTACATTAGAAAACTGACGAAAGGCAGTCTAGTATGTCTGCAAGTACATAGTACATAAAAAATATCTTTCCCAAATTGTCAACTGAAAACCAACTAATGCTGAATACCAAAAACAGATAGATATGGGTTTTATAAAATGTTTATTTTAACAGAAAATACTATATAAACAAATAAAAAATCTTTAAAAACTAACCGAAGACTCAAACTTAAAACCATGCGAACGAAGTGTGTAACCGATTATTGGGGGCAGGTGTGGGGTTCTGCGACTACGTGAATTTTCCTAGGAATCTGCAACAAGAATAAACTGAATTATTTTTAATTATTAAAAGCGATTCAATATACAATTCTGTTGTTAATTTTCCACATTACAAAATGATTAATTAAAACAAATTTTTATAAAATAAAATATTTTTTATATTATTTAATTATAAAATTATTTATTTGACTGTTTCCCATATGCTGAACCGCCATGCATAGGCGATCATTTATGAAGAAATTGTGTACATAAAATTGCTCCTTGTGAACCAAAATTAACTGCGGACGAAAAAAACACTTAATCGTTTGGGAAGTAGACAACAATTTAAATAAATCGAAATTGCAAAAATGGTTTTTGTTTCTGGAAAAAGTTTAGGCGCACTGCGGTAATATCTCTTAATTTAGCACCCAAAATTTCAATGGCTCAGTTTTATTCAGATTTAAAGAAATATTTTAAAATTTACTGATAATACGGTGTTGGTATATTCTGTTTGAAAATATAGAATATTACAAAATGACAATTTAGATAGAATATAGTCCAATTAAAACTTAACAAAACCGCATTATAAAATCTTAACTAATAGACAAATTGTTATTTTACGAGTATAATTGTTGCACAGTGTGTCTCAAACAAACAACAAACTTTGAAATATCATACCTAAATAAACATAATATAATATTTAAGTATTATATTTTCAGAACACCTTAAATGTCCGGCCCCGATGATCTGTCCTGGTCGGCTGGTCAGTTGTCAATCGAAGACGATATATTTTGAGGTACACGATGCAGATCCCCCCTGGAATAAATTACAGTTTATAAACGTCATTATCATTGTGGAGTTTCTTTAAGTTTTTACAACTTATTCATCATTTTATTAATTATGCGAAGGCGAAAATGGCCCGACCCTGTATGTTAAGCTACGTTAATGCATTATAGCAAACGTCTGGAGTCAATATTAAGAAGCGTAACGCTTGACGTCACCATAACCTCAAATTACTCGTTTCGTATCTTAAAATGTCCCCCGTTCCCTTCTCTTCTCCGACGTACCGCACCGAAAGCAAAAACGAATTTTTTATTTAGCCCTCCCCCGCACAGGGGAACATTAAAATTTTATACGCCGCCCCCGCAGTCGCTGCCGCCACCACTCGAAAAAACTGTCGCGCGTCCACTTGAGAGATTATATGAAAACGCAGACGTTGCCCCTAGCGGAAAACCGTTGGCGGGGATGGGGGCGGCTCAGGCGACGGCGGACAAAGGGGGTGGGGGGAAACGCCGACTCGAGGAAATAAGGTAAAGAAGAAGTATTGAACGTAGTAGCCTTTTGAGAAGCGTCGTTACCGACGCGGGCATGCCGCCCCACCCCTCCCCGCAACGTCCCCCCCCCCCGCCAACTCGTTCCCGATGCCCGGCAGTTTTTCCCCCGTTTTGCTCTCTTTCTTTGCCGTCGGGAAAAGTTGTTTCGGGGGAGGTGGGCGATGGGGAGGGGGAGACTAGAGCGTGGAAGGGGCACAAAGGGAAGAAGATTGTTTTTAATCGATTCGAATTCGGGAGCAGTTGTATTTTTCTTTTCCCACTGGGATAAAATTAAAAAAATAAATAAAAAGTAAATAAAAATGTCCTTTCTACCCAAGGTTGTACTTTTTCATTTGGTATCGAATATTATTCCTTGTAGACCTAGCTAAAATTTACATAATAATAATGTCAATCATACAAATTATCGACGACAGAGATGAGCCACAACAGCAATTAGTTATTCTACCGCACTTTTATTGTTGTTTTTATCAAAATTATGGATTGCATTTGACTGTTAAACAAATTCAGAGAATATACCAAATTTTTTTTTCGTTAAAAAAACGGAGAAATATATATATATATATATATATATATATATATATATATATATATATATATATATATATATATATATATATATATATATATATATATATATATATATGTATATATATATATATATATATATATATATATATATATATATATATATATATATATATATATATATATATATATATATATATATATATATATATATATATATATATATATATATATATATATATATATATATATATATATATATATATATATATATATATATATATATATATATATATATATATATATCGGGTGTTATCAATTTTTTATTTACTAATAAATAATAACTATCTTTTTATTTGCTAAAGCAAATTTGGATTTCAAAGTCTTCAAAGTTTTGATTAGTTTCTTTACCTCCGGGAAGAGATTTTCTGGAGATGGGGAGATGAAGTAGGTTGCTTTTAATCGATTTCAATTGAGGCGCAGTTGGATCTTTTTATCATTCGGATAAATTATTATTTTTAAAAGATAAACATTTACAATATAAGGTAAATTGACTTGTTCACTTCTTCTACTCCGAGTAACTCTGTATACACTCTATTTTTGACGTACAGAGAGTGACTCCGTTGGCGTTCGGTCATGCGGAGTGCAGTGAATGGGGTTCGCTCGAAAGGTTCTACATCCTAATGCTGGATTTTAAGAAAAAACATGAGCGAAAGTGTTTAAAATACACTTCGCCACAAACTTCCAATAGCAATGAGCCCGAAAGCAATACCTCACTTGCCACTGTTGTCCTTCCTTACATTCAAAGGTTCTAAAGAAACATAACGTCAAAACCAGATTAACCACAGGTCCAAAAATCTCTCAACATCTTTTATCTGGCAAAGACAAAAAGCCATTGAGAGGAATCCAGAAGTATTATAAAAACTAAAAAGTGTGCAACTGTTGAATTTCTTCGTTTGTTATATGGCGCTTATTGCTTGTTGAAATGGTAACACCGTAAGTTATTTGTTGGGTGGTTTCGGTTTCGTATAGAAATTAAATTGATTTATAAATATAGGATTTTTTTTCGATTTATTTGTTGGACACTAGGAATAAAATACTTCAAAGAAGCCCATCAGGGACAATTATTTTTCCAAATGTATGTATTTTTAGATGTATCAATCATATCCGTGTACTTCTGCAAAGTTTCAAATTTTTTTAATTGCATGCTCCACTATCCTCGATGTTCCGATATTTTTTTTTATAAAACCAAGTAGGGGCACAAATACTGAGCCATTATTCAATACTATTAAAAATGAATGATAAAAATAAACACACAAAAACTATTTCTGTTCGAGAAGTGCAATGGTATATTATGCAACAAGTGCGGTAAACGGCATTTGACTCAGGAGTTTATTTGACACGAGCGGAGCGCAGCGGGGCGAGTTTTTAATAAATGGGTGAGTTAAAAAGTTTACCAAACTTGTTGCATACTATACTTTTCTTACGACCGTTAGTTTTTGACTGTCAGAATTGACAAACGTCAAAATTTAAATCGTGGGAAATGTCTCCGAAAACATCCGATTGTTCCCAAATCCTTGCGGGAAAATCCCGGAAATGTCCGAAGTGGCTCGCATTCATGGGAAACGAAACTGACGTGGTAAAGTGACGCTTCCCGCACGCTAGATCGGTGGGTAACTAGATATTTTACAGATGGGAGTAGGAAAAAACAGTAACAAATCAAGACAGCTATACAGTTTACACTCTATCAACTCCAAGCTCATGTGACAAAATACTATTCCCACTCAGCTCAACACTGTTTTTATTAGCCGAACGCACCCAAGCAGTTAAAAAATTACATTAACCTATAAAGGAAAAATCAGCAACAATTTTTGCACAAAAAAAAAATATTAAAAATAAATTAAACTGCTTGCTGTATGGCGTTTGGTATTAAAATAAACTAATTATTTTGGCGCTGTGCAAGAAAAATATTGACTCCGTAGAAGACACAACAAAGAAAATGTTCTTTTAATCGAAATTATAGTAAATTTTTATGTAGTTTAGAGATTTATTTACATTTGTTCGATAAGAACAATTAGATGTAATATTACTATTAATTATATTCTAATAATCGAAAATATATTACTTTTTTTATTGTTGGTTACTATCGTTTATCTTTATCAACGCCTGCTGGCTATTTGATCAACGAATTCAAGATCAGTTGCCCTAATGACTAAGCGGTTAAGGCGATTTTATGTGGTCGTAAAAACGTATAAACTTCTTAATTAGATTTAGCTTAGACAAATTCCTGTCCACACTTGCAACAATATGGTAATGTTTTTAAAGCGTGCTTGGGTAAAACTTTAACGTTCTAATTTTCTTTAATACATTTTCGCGTCTAGCTCTTTCTTATTAAAATATGTCAACAGAATCACCATCAGAAATTATTTCCTAAATTATCACAGTATTTTATTTCCGGTGCCTTTTTATTGTTGTTGTTATCAAAATGACATATTCCAAAAAAAAAATCCTCTTTTTATGTGTAAAAAAAATGAAACGTGGGACTAAAAAAAAGCGAAAACAAAAGGGCACGACAATCAGCGGATGGGGATTTTTTTTACATTCCACTAAATTCGCCACCATTTTGAGAATTACGCCGCCATGTACATTCCGCGGTAAATACATGGATAAATCACAAACAAGGGGGGAGTAGTTTTATCTGAATGTTTATGTTAATCCATTCTTATATGGTATGTAGCTGGATTAAATGCGAAGTTGGTTAATGCCGCAAACTTCAGGTTTCTTAAACCCCTAATCTGCCTTTACTCAAAATTTTCCCAGTTTTGCCCGTCGCGGTCCCTCGGGAACGTACGAGCACCGCCATTTTTTTTTAAGCTAATTAAAGATGAAACTCTCTTTCAAATAATAATTTAAAACGAGAATATACACATCGCCAAAAAATAAATTGCGGGTCATGGTAAAATGTACAAATAAAGATTGCTGTTTTTTACAAATACTCATTTGTTAATCAGGTATTGGGGTAATGGAGGACTTTAATTAAACAGTTTTAATAATTTCTATAGCTGTTTAATATTGCGTATTAAAATCATAAAAATCAAAATGTAGAAAGAAAAGCTGGATGGTGTACTGCCAAAGTTCTCTTTCGTATTCTGTAGTGAAAGAATGGGCAAAACGTTTTCGAATGGGGCAGGAGTCCCTTGAAGATAATTCAAGAACCAGTGGAGGTCATAACGGAAGAGATTGTTGCTGTGGTATTGAGTGATCGACGTTTAAAGGTCAAGGGAATTTCAGAAATTACTAAGCTTTCTGATACAAGTGTTCGTCGAATCCTGTATGATCATTTAGGGATGCATAAGGTTAGTTCAAGATGGGTTCCTAAAAACCTTTCGGCTATTCAAAAACAACGCCGTGTCGAGTGTGCGCGGTCTTTTTTGGAACCCTGCGGGTCGGAACCGAAGCTTCAAATAGAAACTATTGTGATGGGAGCTGAAACTATGGTTTCCCTATTATGGTCCTCTATCAAAAAAAGAATCAATGGAGTGGCGTCGTAAGAGTGAAGCACCTCCAAGAAAATTCAGAGTCTGCCAGTGAAGAAAAAAGGTGCTGGCCACGATCTTTTGGGATTGTGAAGGAATTCTTTGGATAGATTTTAAAGAAACTAATACCACTGTCAATGGTAAATATTACGCAATATTATTACATAAATTGCGAGACTGCATACGTGTAAAACATCGAGGAAAATTGACTAGAGGCGTGCGTCTTTTGCACGTTAATGCGCCTGTCCATACTGCTGGTGTTGTACAAGCTGTCATTTTAGATTATGGGTTCCAACAGATAGGTCATCCTCACCTATAGTCCAGATATGGCCCCCTGCGACTATTAGTTGTTTGGATATTTCAAAAAGGACTTACGTGGACGGCGGTTTAACGACGAGGTTGAGTTAAAAGAGGCTGTTT